GATGAGGGTAAAGACTACCTTCATCTGTGGATATAAAGACAAATTGTTGTTAGGGTTATTCTGGTTCAGTAAAGTAGTGATTTTAGGTTCTCATCCAATATCCATGACTTCACTAGCACTGAGTAGTTATCTAGGTTTCCAGTTTCGGGCATGACTTGCCTTCTGTTGAGTTGATCTTAGTTTAGATAGAGACCTGTTGGCTACCACCAAGGTCTTAGTGACAGCACTGTCCTCTAAGGGTTATAATGCCATTCTAGTCATTGATGTGGTTCATAGGCAGGGAAGTTGGTTGCCTCCCTGGAAGCCCAAATGGTGCTCTCAAAAAAGGATTTTGTATTTTGTCAGTAGATTCTTTTGTATCTGAGATGATCATGTGATTTCTGATCTCAAGTCCATTTGTTTGAATTACTGTAGTTATTCCTAATTGGTATCATGACTAAGTTAACTGAGTGAATGTTAAAAAAGAACACCTGAAGTTTGTGGGGTGGTAGTAGTGGTGAGGAAAATAGAGGAAGTGGACAAGAGAGAATGGGAGGTGGGCTTTCTAATGCATTATATACATGAATGAAATTCTAAAACGGTAAATTTTCATATTCCAAATTGCCTTATTTTATTCAACTGCTTGTGTTGCATTGGTCTTGGTTCAGGTGTTTATTCATACTCCCTTTGAATTATTTTTATGCTTATAATTGTTATTTTGTGGTTATTGTACTGTGGCTCTTCTAAATTGCTTTTTTGAGAAAGCTACCATAGGAATAATGTATTGGTTCTTTTTTTTTGTTTTCACAAAGGGCCTTGGGCATCTGGGGTTAGGTCATTGGCTGGGTCTTTTGGCATGGACATCTACACTATCAATGTTGAGTGTGCATTTGGATTTCTCCTTGCTGTTACCCAACTTGTCAGGTTTTGAATCTTCTGGATTTGTATTTGTGGTTCAGTCTCAAGGACACTCAGAGGTGATGCTCTATTGGGGTATCAGAAGTCATATTTGTTCAGCTAAGGGAAAATGAAGCTATGATCACAAGAAGGAACTTTCTATGGTTCTAGAAGGTTCTTCTTGAAGCTCCTCAGAAACTGAGGTTGGTGTGGCAGAGAGAGACAGAGGCAAGAACTGTCATGGTGTACAGGCATTTAACATAGGTCTTCAGGTTGCTGCCTTAGAGTCCTCATGGGTGGGGGAAGAACAGGGCTTCCTTGGAGTGCAACAGGGCCTCAGAGTTTCAAATCATAGGGATTTGAGATCACCACCAAGGGTCTAGCAGGGCCAGTTGTGGACCCATGCATGGCTCAGTCTACAGATGCTAAGATAGTGGAAACTGAGGTCATGGGAGGGAGATGCTACATGTGAGATAGATGTGAGCCTTAGTTCATAGGTCCTTAGATAACAGCTTAGGATTTTATGGGGTGGGGTGACTCTTCCTGTGAAACACATGCACATGGGCTTGGTGCAAACATCCTCAAAGTTTCCTCCTTAGTATTTTAAAAATCATTGTGAAAAGATGGGAAATTTCTTTTTAAAATGTGATGACACTGCAAAGACATTCAGCTTGGGTTTTGTTCGGAGTTGTATTTTCAGCTTCAGATGATGAAAAATGGAGTAGACACCAGTTAACAGATGATTACACAGTATCACAGTTTTATATGTTTTTTATGCTTACATTGTCAATATCTAATCTATAGGTTAAAATATACAGTTAGAGCAACATTTTTGGGAAGGTTAAATATATTTTATACTCTCTGGCCAGCTCTTTGATCATCTCCCCCTGGTGAGGTAGCCTATCTAGGCTACATAGAAAGATTATCCAGACCGTCCTGATGAGACCCCATAGGCTAGGGTCAGATAGTAGGGGAGGTCCACCTCCCCTATCACTGCAATAGAGGAGGAGTGGGGGGGGGAGAAAGGAGGGTGGACAGGGGGGAGATGAGGGAGGGAGCGAGCTATAGCCGGGATAAAAAGTGAATAAATTGTAATAAATAATAATAATAAAGAAAAAAATTTAAAATTAAAACTAGCCTAATGAGGGAGCAGCCTTACCAGGTCACAGAAGAAGACAATGCAGCCAGTCCTGATGAGACCTGATAGACTGGGGTCAGAGGGAAAGGGAGGAGGACCTCCCCTATCAGTGGATTTGGAGAGGGACATGGGAGGAGATGAGGGAGAGAAGATGGGATTGGGAAGGAATATGAGAGGGGCCTACAGCTGGGATACAAAAAAAATAAACTGTAATTAATAAAAAAACAACTAGCCTGTAATAAACTTTGCTTATTCAAAATTAAAGAAAAACATCTATATTTCATATTTACCTTATTCCGGCATTTAAAATTTTTTCTTATTATTTTTTTACAATTTGTTCATTTTATATATATATATATATATATATATATATATATATATATATATATATATATATATATATATATATATATGATTGAAGCCCCCTCCCTCAACTCCTCTCAGTCTCACCCTTCCTCTTTCTTTGCTCCTATGCCCCTTCCCTACCCTCTGACCCTAGCTTATTAAGTCTCTTCAGGATTGCCTGGATCTTCTTTTCCAGGTCAAGTAATCAAAGAGCAGGCAACAGAGTTCATGACAGGCAGCCCCTGCTCCCCTTACTCGGAAACCCACATCGAGACTGAGCTGCCAATAGGCTACATCTGAGCAGGGGGTCTAGGTCCTCTCCTTGGTTGGTAAATCAGTCTCTGTAGGACCCCTTGGGCTCAGTTTTCTTAAAGCTTTGTCGCTTTCCTTGTGGGACTCCTGTCACCTCTATGTCCTTCTATCCCACCTCTATGCCGTTCTATCCCCTCTTCCTCCATGCCAGCATTTTATATAGAATATCTCTCACTCCTTTTATAAAAAAATGATTATTAAGTTTACTTGAAAAGAGAGCTGACATTCTGAGGTGGAAAGGTCACTCGAGAACATGGAAATTATAATATGTAGACTGATGATTTTTTTCCTAAGGTTAAGTTATTAAGTTAAATAATATTTTTATAAATTTATTTAATTATGTGTAAGAGTCTGTGTGTTGACTTATGCATGTGAGAGTGCAAGTGCTCATAGACTTTAGGAGGAGGAATCAGGTTCTCTCTGGCTGGAATCAATATGTTATTATAATAATTATTAAAACATTATATTTGTAATAATTATTAAAAGATTAAATTTTGTTATTATTGGTAATTGTTAGCAGCATGGGTGCTGGGAACAGAATTGCCGTCCTCTATAAAGGCAGTGTGTCTTTTTAACCACTGAACTATCTCTCCAGCCCGAGTCAGAATGGAGTTCAAGTTTTACTCCAAAGCTATATTTTCCTCACTCTGTAAAAAGTTCATACCAAGAGAAATACGATTCTAGATTTATCACATACATATAGTATGATTTTTTTTTTTTGTACAGGTACCACAAAGTCATAAAAAGGATGACATTTTAATAGCATATCAAATTATTATTATTATATTGTAAATTAAGTTAAATTTATTTATTTATTACAATTTATTCACTTTGTATCCCCACTGTAGCCCCTCTCTAGTCTCCTCCCAGCCTCACCCACCCTCCCTCTTCTCCTCCTATGCCCTTTTCCCCTGATAGGGGAAGACCTCCTCCACTTCTATCTGACCCTAGCTTATCAGTTCTCATCAAGGCTGGCTGCATCATCTTTCTCTGTGGCCTGGCAAGGCTGCCTCCCCCAGGGGGAGGTGATCAAAGAGCCAGCCACTGATGACAGCATGTCAATTTTTAAATTTTTTTTTAATTTTTAAATAATTTTATACATTTACTTGTTTCCCAGCTGTAGCCCTCTCCCTCTTTCCCTCCCAATCCTCCCCTCCCTCCCTCATCTCCTCCCTGCCCCCTTCCGAGTCCACTGAGAGTGGGTGTTCTTCTCTCTCTGCATCTGGCCCTAGCTTATCAGCTATCTTCAGGATGGTTGCAATGTCCTTATCTGTGGCCTAGCAAGGCTGCTCCTCCCTCAGTGGGGAGGGGAAGCTCAGTGAGCCATACATTGAGTTCATGTCAGAGACAATTCCTGTCCCCCTTACTAGGGAACCCACTTGGATATTGAGCTACCATGGGCTATGTCTGAGCAGGGGTTATAGGTTATAATCCATGCATGGTCCTTGGTTGGAAAAACGGTCTCAGAGAAGACCCCTGTGCCCAGATATATTTGGACCTTGTGGGGCTCCTGTCCCCTCTAGGTCAGCATGTCAATTTTTAAAAGACAAACTTATAAAATCGATAGTTTGGACCAAGAAAGATCTTTATGGAGCTTTTCAGTGATGTCTGTTTTATCATTGAGTACGTGCAGCTACCTGCTGTGAGTGCCAAAGAGATGGGAAGGGTGACGCCAAATATTAAGTGTTAGTTCTATGTGTTTCTTTCTCTTGGTAATTCTTCCTTTTCTACTTTCAACAAAGGAATTGCATACTATTTATCCAAAATCCACCAAGTTTTAAAGAAATCCCAGATATGAGCTTTTTCTTTCTTTTTCTCTTTCTTTCTTTCTCTCTCTTTCTTTCTTTCTTTCTTTCTTTCTTTCTTTCTTTCTTTCTTTCTTTCTTTCTTTCTTTCTTTCTTTCTTTCTTTCTCTTTTTTTTCTCTGTCTTTCCTCTGAACTCTCAAAAGTAGGTTTCAGGTTGAGTAGAACCAGTTACTTCCTTATTCTCATTGGTCAAAATTTTAATGTGCCCTTGGGCTGTTAGTCCATTGTATTGCAATTTTTAAAATGACATATTTTAATAATAATAAAAAGTCTAGAGTGAAAGGAGATGCTATAAAATGTGTCTGTGAACTTTTCATAATATACTCTTATATTTCGTTGTAAGGGCATATCACTATAATTAAGTTGACTACTATATATAAATATTACTAATATATAATTTCAAAATAGCTTTTGTCATATAAATTTACTTACGTTTTTAATGTTAAACAACCGTCATAGAGTGGTACTTTGGAAAAGCTATCATTATGGTCAGAATGTTTTCTTGCATCTTCTCTTTTGCAGGTACTCATAGCCTACTGTTATCGCACAGTCATGGGAATACTGAATTTATTTGGGATAGAAGCAAAGACCTGCTGGAATGTCACCAGAATAGAGCCTCTTAAAGAAGTTCAGAGCTGTGAAGGCATGTGCCCCCTTCAATGCTATTGTGTGCTCACTGGTGTTTTCATAGCTATCTGATCTTGTGACTCATTTTAAGATTCATTATAAGCTGGGTATGGTGGTGTACACATTTAATCCCAGTAGTCAGACAGGCAGAGTCAGGTGGATGGCTGTGAGTATGAGGCCAGCTTGGTCTACAAAGTGAGTCCAGGAGAATCAAGGGTACACAGAAAAACCCTATCTCAAAAAACAACAAACAAACAAACAAAAAATTATAATCTATGATCAATTTTATTTAAGACTTTATAGAACGTATTCATTTCAATAAGTATTTTATACTTTAACATTCTTTTCTGAGAAGGTTAGATACTTAATAATTTGAGTATAAATTAGAAATTTAACTCAAGTACCAATATGTCCCAATGTTAGGTACTCTTGAGTAAAAGTCCCTTTCAGAATGAGACAGTACAAAAAATATTTAGGGTAACACTAGTACATATATTTGGTGGATAAAGAGCCAAATATATATTTGCAATACTTATGGATGAGTTGATGGTAATAATCAGCTATTATAAATATTTCTTTATCCTTGTTCACTGTACAAGAGGAATGTTTATGAAACTCTCTTTGTATGTCTCCTGTGTTTCTATCTTTGCCAACCAAAACCAAAACCAAACAAAAAAAAAGCCCTTAGGTATTATCTAACAATTTTCCAGCTGCCCCTTCAGACTCTGTTCATAGCCACACGGAAATACATATAAAAACACAAGTGTTTTTAGTGTCTTCATGTATGACTATTTTTTTTCCACAAAATTGATACTAACTAAATTTACTTAACTCTTGAAATATGAACAAAATCTGAATTTCCCACACCTTCATTTATTTATTTATTTTTTTCTACTGATGCCCTTTCAAACCTAAAATGATACTGGTGGAGGATACTTGAGGAGTGATTATACTTTGCGGTTTTTGCAACATACATGAATAGAGACTATGACTTGTTAAACCTTAGACTATGTAGTGTGTCCATCATCAAGAAGATTTAACTTTTTCTGAGTGTTGAAAGGCATCCCTTTAACATGTGTGGTATATATTAAGTTCTCAATTAGCAACAGGCCAGTGTGGTACTTGGGAGTGCACAGAAGAGCTGGCAGACCTGGGTCTTAAACTCAGAGAGCTTATACTGTCAGCAGGCTGTTAGCAGTTATAATGGTTGTGCATATTACCAATGTCCAGATGTTGGGAATGCAATCGAGGGCAGACCACACTGGATCACATGCTGGCTAGCATGTGATCTAGTAAAGAACCATAACAGGTACATGCTGAAGCATCACTGCCAGCTGCATGAAAAGCTCATTTGTAAGGGGCAGAGGCAGGTCCCAAGTGATTCCTGTTTCACTGCCTGTATTAGCTCAAGGAACCTAAGGAGCCCAAGCTGGAACTAGCAAGTGAGTACTGAGTATGTGGCTACAGAAACTTAGGAACAAGAAAATGTTCCAGTTTCCATATAGAATTACCACCAACTGTGCATGGATGATAACTGGAAGTAGAGAGAGCATATGACAGAGGCCATATGACCTTGGGATGAAAGGGTTAATGAACCAGAACAAGCAGGGTAAAAGTGCCTGTCTTTCAGCAGGCAGAGCAGCCTAACTTTGCAGATTACCTAGGTTTGTAATATTGTTTTATCAAACATAAAAATCCTTTATACCAGTTAATCTCAAAACTTTTGCCTGAAAGCTGTGTGAAATGATGACTATAAAGCACACCAGAAGTGATGTACATACAAAACATAGTCTTATCTGTCTGTCTGTCTGTCTGTCTGTCTATTTATATTAGATATGCTAATGTTCTGTCTACATCATAACAGATAAAGTGAGTAGATCCTAGCACCGCGGCCAGGGCTCATCTTTGAGATTAGGGATGGTATTGCATTCATTTCAGAGCCTAGAAAAGACAAAAGCATGCAGTGGCTCAGTGAACTCTTCACGTGTTTCTGCAGAAAGTTTCAGACACTGAACAGCATCTAACTTAATGAGAACCACAACTTACCATTACATTATAGAAATATGCCATTATGGAAAAGTGTAAACATAACTAAATAAGCATTGTGGGTGTTGTGGCTCTGTGAAGACCTGGCTTTGGTCCCTGGGATAGCAAAGGAAAGTACTCTGCTGTGGAGGTAAAGATGATGGTAGCATTAAAGAGTGGGCAGGAAAGCAAATGCCTTCAGCAAATTTATAAGTTCTTGATTATTAATCACTGAAATAATCTTACTCAATAAAGACTGAATAATCTGTGTCTTTTTTAAAGGATTGGGAGACCCAGCTTGCTTTTACGTTGGTGTAATTTTTATTTTAAATGGACTAATGATGGGATTGTTCTTCATATATGGTACATACTTGAGGTAAGACTAGCAAAGAGAGTCACCCTGGAAGGACTGGTTGGTGCCCATGGATTAAATAAAAAGAAACCTTAATGAAACCAATTGATTAGCTATAGAAAAATTTATAAAACTGATTTTTTTATAACCAATGCTATGCAAATAGAAATGAACTTCCACTAAAGAACATCTTAGAAGCCTCCCTTTTATCCTTTTGGAGATTTTTGAAAACTAAACTAATGAAGATGCCCCTATGTTTAAATTAGAACAATATTACAAAGCAGGGTGTTATTTCTAATTTTATTCTTTTTGAAGTGAGAATTTAAAAGCTATCAAAAATCTACATATCACTTGTGGAAGACACATTCATTAGCCACTCTTTCTTGATAATAGCATCAAAATTTTGTTAGGAGTATAAATGTGCCTGGTCTCCAGATCGTGAACTTAGTAATGACATCACATGTTATGTACCAACTCTTCATTGCTCTTTAGAAGAGCCAAGTGGATTAGCTTTTGTCATTGAAAATTAAGCCAAAGTCAGCCTTGGTTATATCTCAGAATTCTTTATCACAAGCCACAGGCTCACCTGCCCCTTCTCTAGTTCTTGGTTTTGCTTGTATATGCTGTCTGGAGCCATCCTGGGACTGGAGGGGAAAGACCATAAAAATGCAGATATATCTGGCTCTATCCAGCCTAGCAAACCTGCATTGCTAAAATAGTGCCAGCAGATAATTTATTTTTCATTTTTGTTGAGTGATATAACACACATCCATACTGCTTGACTACTTTGTCAGATTTTTTTTTTTGTTTCTTTCAGTGGAATATATTTTGAAGACTTTTTTCAGTGTTATTTTTGAATCACATAAAATTAGAAATTAAAAATATCTTGATTTAGAATCTGGGGACAATATCTCAGCAAGAGTCCTTCTCTATTCCTAATTATCTTATATTTTTAGACAGGATCTCTCACTGAAACTGGAGATCTCTGATTGGGTAGACATTATAGCCAGTAAGCCTTGTTCTTCCTGTCTCTACCTCTCAGTGCTGGGATTGCGAGCTTTTTATGTAGGTACTAGGGATCCAAATTCATGACGTTAACTGCTGCTCTGGGCATCCCTTGGATGTGCAACTATGAAAATAGATCTCTCAATATCTTCCTGAACAAACATCAACTTTAAATGCTCAAGGAAAAAAAAAACTTACTACAACACCAGAAATCCTGAGGCTACTATAGGAAAACACTAAATGATCACAGACATAAGAAAGGACTTCCTGAATAGGATTCTAATAGGTCAGGAATAATTGCTGGCATGTACAGTCATACCACCCTAATGCCACTGATCTAGTGTGATCTTGGAAACCAAGCAATGCTGATTCTGGTTAATAACGTGGTGGGAGAAAATAATTACAAGAATCAACAAACTGGATTCTATGAAACTGAAAAGCATTTGTGTGGAAAAGACAACAACTTTCAGAGTTAATACAAAAACCACATAATGAGAGAAACATACAGAAAGACTCAAAGTCAACACTACATAGAGTTTCTCTCAAATCCATCTTAATGCTGCACTAGTCACAGTACTCAGAAATAGAAAATAGCCTAATTACCAGTCAACAGATAAAATGATAAAGAAATGTGGTACATATAAACAATATAATAGTTTCAGCTTTAAGAAGAATGAAATCATGACATTTGCAACAAAATGAGTGCAACTGAAAATGATCAGTTTAAGCTAAACAAGCCAGACTCAGACACATTTCATATGTATACATGTGTATGTGTGCATGCGTGTGTGTGTGTGTGCTTGCTCATAAGCCATGAAACTGGAAAGGGAAACTTGGGATGTGAAGAAGCCTCTTAAAAGTGGTATAAAATAGAAATACCATTAAAACACACATGATAAGAAATCAAAAGGGGGCTAGAGAGGTGGGTCAGCAGTTAAGACTGCTCTTAACTGGCCGCTCTTACAGAGGATCCAGGTTCAGTTAATAGCAGCCACACTGGGCAGTCCCAACCACCTGTCACTCTAGTGTCCGGGGCTCCAATGCCCCTTTTTGGCCTTCACAGGCACCTGCACACAAGACAAGCAGAAGTGGGAACTGATGGGGAATGGAAAGAGAACCAGCGGAGAGAGAGTTTAGGAATGAAGATTAGGGGAGAGCATAGCTTAATGACACATTTGTAGGAAAATGCCAGGACAAAACTAACTGGTTTTCATGTTAACCTAAATAAAAATTAAAAGTAGAAACGAAAGTATAGTACATATACACAGTGGATTCTATTCAGCTATAAATAAAAATAACATTATTTCATCTGCAAGAAAATCTATGGGACTGCAAAGTATAATATTATGTGAAATATAACAGACAGATATATTTTTAATATGCAGATTTAATCTAGATTTTAAGAATATAGACGGAGTCAAGAAATTAGAAGGAATGCTGTAATTGGAAGGCAGGGGACTAATGGGTATGGAAGTAGAAAACAAGAGTAAAGTAATGGGGAATGGGTTGCTGTATTTGCAGATGACCAGGGTTCAGATGTCAACACCCACATGGCAGGTCACAATCATCTGTAAGTCCAGGCCCAGAGGATATGACACCCTATTCTGGCCTTCTCGGCACCAGGCATTCACACATGTAGAGCAAATATATACACATGTGCAGGAAAACACTTAACTGCATAAAGGAAAAATGAATAAATCTTTTTAAAGTTTAAAAAATGGGTGAGTAATGGGGAAAAGAAAAAATATGGGAAGTATGATTTTCTGATTTGTATAGAGATATAATAGCTTATATAATATAGCTTATGTTAACAACATATATTTTATATATGATATATACATATGTATGTATAAGAGGCATAAAAGCAGAAGACAACAAGAATGCAAAAGGGGGAAGGAACAAAAGGCTGAATGTATGCGAAGTAAAATCACATATGAAAATGCCATAATGAAATTGTTACGTGAATGCTAACTAAAATACATTTCTAAAATAAAAACAAGGTGAACTGACATACTTTCCCTTCTAATCACTGTAAGGCAGCTCACAGAGCCTTATGACATCCTTTCCCCCTCACACACATCTTCCACGGGTCATTATCTTACTGCCTCTGCACAGTGCTCAGGGCTATTAACACCTCCTGCTGGTTTTAGTTTTATTTTTTCATCTAATTTCTTTCTCTTTCTTTCATCCCACCAATGTTGACTCTAACCCAAGCTGAGCAAACAGTGGCTGGTAAGGACATAGGGAATCCGCTGGCTTGGTGTTTATACTGCAGCCGCCTGGCATGAGGGCCGCGAATGAACGTGCAACAAGACAGAAACAGTACACAGCACGGGCCTGAGCATCTGTGATGGTTATTAGCCACCCTAGGGCGGCTCCCTTCAGAGCATTTTCAGTCAGCTGAACAGTTAAGCCTAATTTCAAATGACAAAACCCCACTTCCATTACTGTCAGAATGCATGATGAACAAGGGACTGGGCTGTGTGACTAAAATCATCTTATGCTCGTGGTTTACTGAGAAAATATTTTAATGTAATTGTAAACTTGAAACTATAGAATATGTACACTTTGTGTCCTTATACAGTCATAATTAAAACAACAACTACACAGGCATTTGGGAAATATTTCTGGCTATTAGGTTTAGTTATTCATATTTTAAGTACAGAAAAATCTGTTTTTGATTTTGAGACAGTTTTATGAGAAGACCCTGTGTATTGCGTTTATAACTGTGTGCTTTGCTCTTTCTACAGTGGGAGTCAGTCAGGAGGTCTAATTACAGTAGCGTGCTACTTTTTCAATCATGGAGAGGTTTGTGGTCTATTCAGTCCCTTTTTAGAGATAGAGCGGTTTGCACTAACAAGAAGGTGTAGCCACCACGCTAACAGGTTCCATGGTGCTGCGCCTGTAATAACTTAAAGCATTTTATGTTGCAAATTTGCCTGTGAATTGTGTTAATCTTACGTCAGTAAATTTTTAAATATGTGAACCATCAGCCTTTTGGTGCTTATTTACATGCATATGTTCTGTAAACAAATGGCAGCCTTGTGCTCACTCAGGCACTGTTTATAGACATCATTCGTTGACTATCAAACCTCTGGTGAGTGAGCATTATCTTCATTATACAGATTATGAAATTGAAATTTAGAAAGCTACATTACTTAGCCGAAGTTCCATAGCTTTGCATGGTAAAGCTGGGTTACCTGTTCTGTGCTGGCCTCTACAACCTCACTTTTTAAAATATGCACTCACCCCTTTTCTTCTTTTGGCTTTTTGAGACAAGGTATCCTTTTATGTCTTCTAGGCTGGCTTCAAAACTTGTGATTCTCCTGTCTCAGCCTCCTAAATGCTACCATGTCTGGCTGGTACATCATGTCTGGCTCTAAAAGTTGTTTTTTGTTGTTGTTGTTTTGTTTTGTTTTTGTTTTAATAGTTAGAACACTTAGCATGAGATCTTAGCAGATCTTAACCTCCTAGCAGGTTAAGATCCTAGCAGATTTTTTATTCCATAACACAGTATTTTTTAAAGAGTGTGTGCACACGTGTGCATGGACATGAGCACGCGTATGTGTACCTGGGGAGTCCAGAAGAGGGCGTGACAGCTCTTGACTCTGGGGCTAGAGGCAATTGTGAGCCACCATGTGGGTGCTAGGAGCTGAACTCCAGTCCTCTTGCCTTCAGCTCCATGTGTCCAGCCCCCCAATTTAACACAACTGTACCCAGAAGACCTCCAGAACTTGTCCATCTCACGTAACTGAAATTTTATGTCATTGCTCTTCTTAGCAGTTGGAACGGTCCTGGCTTGACAACATGAACATCGGATGTTCATTCCATGCTGCCTTTCTTTTCTGTAACAAAATAATGAATTCAAAACAGATTTTGTACAGTAAGCCATCCCCAACAGACATATCCAAGCTAATAGGAACATCTGGAAGTTGTTTAGGATATGATGGATTCATTCAGAGTCTGCTCCATCTATTGGATGTTGGATGTGTGACAAGGATAGAGAATCTGACTATTAACATTTTGAATCAAATCTGCTATGTAGTGGCAGTAGGCCAATTTAAAAATCAGTTAAATAAAGGAATAAACAAATCCTCACATAAAAAGATTTAAATACATGATGTTAAATGAAAACAAATACAGTTCAACAATCTGTAGGCACAAAGAAAAGCATTTTATTTGGGTGTGCCAGGCTTTGGTGGACTAAGTTTGAATTTTGAATATAAACTATTACTGTTTTCAAAGCTTACAAGTTTGATTTCTTTCACATGTTATAATTTTTGGAAACTCTTATCAAAGTAATCAGACTCTTACTAGGTGATGAAAACAAATTATTTTTGTAATTTTAGGGTTCCTGATAGAAAATTTTATACAATAAGTTCCATGTGTCTTAAGACAGTCTTAAGGATGGATATGCAAGGTTAATAATATGTTTACTGCGTTCATTACCAGCAATTCTCAATACTTTCAATTGTTCTTAAAAACTTAACTCATGTAGAGTGTATTTGAATGACTCAGAGCCAGTATTGACTGTTTAATGTATATCCTTATCAGTTGGAACTTATTCTATGTAGACTTGATATTTGCAAATGCTCTATATCTTTGGTTAACATGGTTTCCTGGCTATCTTATGTACATCAAAGCCGCAAATGCCAGGCTCATGCCTCCAGGGCTGTGTTGTACTCTGGGCCAGTGGTCCTCATAGCTTCTACCCCTGAATATTTGTCGGTCCTTTGGCTGAATTGTGTGTGATTTGATATAGTTCTTGTTTCTGAGTTTGACAGTTAATAGTGCTCCCCTTAATGGCCACGAGAGAGAATATCAAAGGACCAGAAGCTACCAGAAAGTGAGAAGTAGGATCTAATGAGCCTAGCATTAAAACTCTGAAAGTAAGCCAATCCCTGAGTTTTAGGTGAGCAATATTTACTATAAAATGGAAAATAATGCAAACTGAGTGTTTTATGAATTTAGGCTACCCGTGTGATGTGGACACCGCCTCTCCGGGAAAGTTTCTCATATCCATTCCTTGTACTTCAGATGTATGTTTTAACCACTATTCTCAGGTAATTTCAGTCATAAAACAAAGCTAAATAAATTATTATGTTGCCTTTCTTAAAATTTGCTTTAATCTACTGTCATGATTATTAAATTGAAGGTATGTTTTAAACTTTTTAAAATGGATTCAGTAATCAGATAATTTTACATAAATTTATAACTATCTATTGAAAACGTGACCCTACAGGTTCTAGATAATAGTATTATGGTTTCAAAATTAGTTTTATTTTGTGTGAATTAGTATTTTGCCTACATGTGTGCACATTCACTATATGCATGCCTGGTGCCCACAGAGGCCAGAAATGTATTAGATTCCCTGGAAATGGAGCTATAAATGTTTGTGAGTCACCATCTCCCCTTCCCTTCCCTTCCCTTCCCTTCCCTTCCCTTCCCTTCCCTTCCCTTCCCTTCTTTTCCCTTCTCTTCCCTTTTCCCTTCTTTTCACTTTTTCCTTTCCTTCCCTTCCTGGGCCTCTCCATTTTCATGTATTTAAAAGTACCCATAGAAGCAGGAATTATGCCAGATTTAAATCTTTAACCACAGAGTACTGAGCACATACTCAAGCAACTGACTGAGCATTTAATTGTTGGCTGACTGGATAAAGGTAGAGCATGCCTCCTGAGCTCACTACAGATCTTTAGAATAGAGGCTGCCTCCTGGTATGTCACCAACTAGGGGTTGAATGTGAACTTGGCAATCTGTTCCCAGTTTGGGTTTCAATATTTATTCATTACATTATGTACTTTAGAGAAATTATAAGGAAAGATGCTGTATTCTCTCTTCCCCAGAAATGATGTTTGTTCACTTGAAGTAATATTAGTCTGACTAATGGGGATGAGGGAGTCACACAATGAAATGTGATAGACTGGAATTTAAGGTCATGGTCTTGAAGGCATGTACTCTATTTAACTAAAATAATTTTTGTGTGAATACAATCACGAGTAGCAAAATCTCAGGTGGTCCCTGTGCTTCTTGGGGTTATGGGGGTTGAAAGCAAGGATTCTTCCCACCCCCGACTGTGCAAAATGTGAAGCTGCAAACTCAGACCTAGTTTATTTTTGTTTTTGTTTCATATTCGAAGAGATGCTACACTTTGCTCTAGCAAAAGGCGAACGGTTCACAATGTAGTACTGCTGCAGATTCCACAATGTGAATGCCAACTGCAGCGGCTGACCTTTCACCTTACTTTTTAAGAACTCCCCTGCGTCCTCCACAAATCTTGGCACCCTCCAGGCCAGCATGTGTGCTTCTTCTCACTGTTTTCTGAGTTGTGTGTACTGAAGGACACAGTGAGGAACACAGGAGCACAGTCACGTCCCATTTCCTGAGATTTGACTGGAGGATTAAAACTGAATAGCAAACAAAGGACATAAAGTACCTTGGTGTGACTCTAACCAAGCAAGTCAAAAACTTATATGAAAAAAAATTTCCAAAATTTGAAGAAAGAAATAGAAGAAGATATCAGAAGATGGAATGATCTCCCATTCTCATGGTTTGGCAGGATTAACATAGTAAAAATGGCCATCTTACCAAAAGCAATCTACAGATTCAATGCAATTCCCATCACATTACCAACCCAATTCTTTACAGACCTTGAAAGAAAAATTCTCAACTTCATATGGAATAACAAAACCCCCAGAATTACTAAAACAATCCTCTACAATAAAAAAATCATCTGGAGGTATCTCCATCCCTGTTCTCAAGCTGTACCATAGAGCAACAGTAGTAAAAATTGCATGGTACTGGTATAGAAACTGGCTAGTGTATCAATGGATTCAAATAGAAGACCCAGAAATAAACCCACACACTTATTGACACCCAATGTTTGACAAAGATGCCAAAACTATACAAGAGAAAAAAAGATAGCATCTTCAACAAATGGTGCTATACTAACTGGATGTCTACATGTAGAAAAAATGCAAATAGACTCATACTTAATACCCTGGACAAAACTAAAGTCCAAGTGGATCAAAGACCTCAATATAAAAGCAGACACACTAAGTCTTTCGAAGAAAAAGTCAGGAAGAGCCTTGAACTCATTGGACAGGAGACAACTACCAGAACAGAGCACCAAAGCAAAGTCTCTAAGATCAACAATCAATAAATGGGACCTCATGAAACTGAAAAGCTTCTGTAAAGCAAAGGTCACTGTCCTCAAAACAAACCATCAGCCTACAGATTGGGAAAGGATCTTCACCAGCCCTATATCTGAAAGAGGCTAATATTCAGAATAGATAAAGAACTCAAGAAGTTAAGCAGCAACAAATCAAGTAATCCAATTAAAAAATGAGGTACAGAGCTAAACAGAATTCTCAATAGAGGAATATCAAATGGCAGAGAAACACTTAAAGAAATGCTCAACATGCTTAGCTATCAGGGAAATGCACATCAAAATAACCCTGAGATTTCACCTTACCCCCAGCAGAATGGTTGAGATAAAAAACTCAAGTGACAACACATGCTGTAGAGGATGTAGAGAAAGGGGAACCCTACTCCACTGCCAGTGGGAATGTAAACTTGTACAACCACTCTGGAAATCAATTTGGTACTTTCTCAGACCATTAGGAATTGCACTTCCTCAAGATCCAGCTATACCACTCCTAGGCATATATCCAAAAGATGCTCAAGTATACAGCAAGGACATTTGCTCAACAATGTTAGTAGCAGCTTTATTTGTAATAGCTAGAAGCTGGAAACAACCCAGATGACCTTCAGTTGAGGAATGGATATAGAAATTGTAGTACATTTACACAGTGGAATACTACTCAGCAATTAAAAACAAGGAAATCATGAAATTTGCACGCAAATGGTAGGAAGTAGAAAAGATCATCTTGAGTGAGGTATTCAAAAAGCAGAAAGACACACAGGGTATATACTCACTTAAAAGTGGATATTAGACATATTATGTAGGATAATTATACTAAAATCTGTACACCAAAAGAAGCTAATCAAGAAGGAAGACACTGGTTAAGATGATCAATCTTTATTCAGAAAGCCAAAGGGTATGGACATCAGAAGAAGGATAAAACAGGGAACAGGACAGGAGCCTACCACAGAGGGCCTCTGAAAAGCTCTACCCTGCAGAGTATCAAAGCAGATGCTGAAACTTAGGGCCAACCTTTGGGCAGAGTGCAGGGAATCTTAGGAAAGAAGTGGGAAATAGTAAGACCTGGAGGGGACAGGAGCTCCACAAGAAGAGCAACAGAACCAAAAAATCTGGGCACAGGGGTCTTTTTTGAGACTGATACTCCAACCAAGGACCATGCATGGAGATAACCTAGAACCCCTGCGCAGATGTAGCCCATGGAAGCTCAGTATCCAAGTGGGTTCTCTAGTAATGGGAACAGGGACTGTCTCTGACATGAACTCAGTGGCCTGCTCTTTGATCACCTCCCCTGAGGGGGGGGGGTGTGCAGCCCTTACCAGGCCGCAGAGGAAGACAATGCAGCCAGTCAGGATGAGACCTGATATGCTAGGATCAGATGGAAGGGGAGGATAACCTCCCCTATTAGTGGCTTTGGGGAGGGGCATGGGAGTAGTTAAGGGAGGGAGGGTAGGATTGGGAGGGAATAAAGGAGGGAGCTACAGCTGGGATACAAAGTGAATAAACTGTAATCAATAAAAAGAAATTAATTAACCTGAATGGCAAACATTTTTTATGAGGAACTGAAGTCATATTTTAAATAATTTAATTTACTGAAAAATTGTATAATATTGTTTCCAAATGTCTAATTTTGTTTTATTTAAACATTTTTAGTTTTCAAGTATTTTAAAAATTTTAGTAAATTAATTTTCAAAATTATATTTTGCATATTATATAAAAGTTAAGGAGATCAGTTAGGTTTTTTTTTTTAAACATTTAACGAAGACTCCTTTGTTCTTGAGTTACTAGCTATCTTTACATCAAAACTTACTGATGTTGTACTTCTTCACCTAGGACCTCCACCATTCACAAAAAACAGTACATGGCGCTCTGTTTCTCCAATGTCGCTTTCATGCTCCCTTGGCAGTTTGCTCAGTTCATACTTTTCACACAGGTAAGATGGTCTAAAACAATTTAAGCTGCCTGCATGTGGGCATGGTTATTCACTCTGCAGCCCAAGATGGACACAAACTTGTGCTATTCTCGCCTTCCCTCACAAGTGCAGGGGTAAGAAAAGCAACCACCACAGCTAGCTGATTTCATTTATGCCATTAAGTGGTATGAAGTCAAAGCCTTTATAATTGTCTGTAGTCTGTTTTGTATGAGGAGCAAAATTCTACCAGGAACCACTTCTTAAGCTCTCATTAAGATCTTGCTTATGTGAATTGAAGCCGAATTATTTTTTTTTCTGAAATACTTATGTAACTAATAGCAAGGAATGAAACTGTGAAGCAGAATAGAAGGACAAAGTGATGAAGTTTTATGGACCTATCCAAGTAGGTCCTTTCCACCAACTATGGTGCTACGGTAAGGGAAGTGAGACATTCTGCCACTAATTGTCCATAAAAACTAAAATAAAACTTCAGCCCAATCAACACGTGTGGTGAAAGAATGGTTAAAAGATTCACAGTTGCTTTATCAGTGTTGGCTGTCATACTAGTCATTATGCAATCATTATTTTCACAGGGTAAAATAGTAGAATATATATTAAATTTTACAGATGTGTAATTTGGTATTTTGCCTGCATATAAATCTGTGCATGACTTGGATGCAGTCCTTGCAAAAGCCATAACGGGGTGTTGTATCTTCTGGAAGTATATATTACACATATATACATATATGCATATGTATACACATATATACATTATTATATGTATACATATATATGTATATGTACATGCATATATACATATATACACACATATGTATAAACATACACACATATATGTATATACATACACACATATATGTCTATACACATATACATACACACATATATGTCTATACACATATACATACATGTATGAATATACTTATATATACATGTATATACATATATAGTATATATGTATGTGTATATATATATACATATATACTATATATAGATAGGGATTTTTTTTTATATCTGTATATATTTAACCACTCTACAGCCCGATTCCATCTGCCTCCCTCCTCTCCTTCCAGTTCTACCCTCTTGTCCTCCTTCTCCCATTCCCCCCCTCTCCTTCTTCTCAGAGAAGGTAAGGCCCCAAGGGCTATCAGTCCACCCTGGCCCCTCAAGCTGCAGCAGGACCAAGTGCATCCTCTCCCACTGTCCGACAAGGCAGCCCAGCTAGGGGAAAGGGATCCTGGGGTAGGCAACAGAGTCAGAGACAGCCCCTTCCCCCATTGATAGGAGATCCTAACAATGTTGACCATACTGCACAAATCCACTGCATATGTGTCGGAGTCCATGCATGCTCTTTGGTTGGTGGTTCAGTCTCTGTGAGCCCCCAGGGGCCCAGACTAGTTTACTCTGTAGGTCTTCTTGACTCTCCTTCTCCCTCTGTTTTTCCTTCTACTTTCCACAGGCTAAATGCCTGCTCTTTCCATGGTTTATTGTTTGCAGTGTGTATGTCTTCATCTGTCTTCATCAGCTGCTGCATGAAGCCTTTCAGAAGACATTTATGCTAGGCTCCTGTCTGCAAGCATAGCCGAGTATCATTAATAGTGACAGTGTTCGGCCCTCTCCCATGGGGTGGGTTTTAAGTTGGGCCAGTCATTGCCTTGCCATTCCTGCAATCTCTACTCCATCTTTACCCCTATACTTCCTGAAAAAAAGACAGATTTTTGGGTCAAAGATTTTATGGGTGGGTTGATGTCCCCTTCCCTCCACTGGGAGTCCCACCTGGCTATCAGAGGGGCCAACATTAGGTTCCTTAACCCCCTCTCCTAGGAGTCTAGAGCGACCCCCATAAACTCCAGGGAGCCCTTCTTGGCTTCTTTGGGTCTGTGGATTGTAATATGATTATCCTGTACTTTATGAGTAATATCCACTTGTAAGTGAATACATACCATGTGTGTCTGTCTGGGATCACTCAAAATAATCTTTTCTAATTTACCTGCAAATTGCATGGTCTTTGTTTTTAATAGCTGAATAGTATTCTATTGTGTAAATGTATCACATTTTTTAAGCCATTCTTTAGTTGAGGAACACCTTGGTTGTTTTTAGTTTTTGGCTATTATGAATAAAGCAGCTATGAACAGAGGTGATAAAGGGTCCTTGCTGTACAGTGGAGCATCTTTTGGGTATATGATCAGGAGTGGTATAGTTAGGTCTTGAGGTAGATCTATTCTCAGTTTTCTGAGAAACCTCCAGATTGATTTACAGTGGTTGTACAAGTTTGGGAAAATCAATCGATTTTTAACAAGCCACCTCATTGTAAACAAAGTTATCAATTAAGTAGTACTGATAAAACCACATGAGAAACTCTTTAAGTGGATTCAAAATTACCTTAGTGATTTCCCATTTCCTGACCATTCAAAGCAATTCAAGACCCAATTTTCTTAACTAAAACAAACACCCACATTTGTGTTTCTATTTACACATTAATGGTTGAGAATCAAAGTTATTTTTTTTTCTGGGCATTTTACATTGCATTTTTTTAAGTGAGGGCTAGTTCATATCCCTTAACTATGTGGTCTGAAAATGGATATAAAGAAAAGATGGCCCATATTTCACAAAGCAAACTCATGAAAGAGGGTCAAAGGAGCCTAGGATATTTGATCTGACAAGGTCTTAGATATTATCATTCCAACATGCTAACAATTTAGGCAGTTAGATTTTCATTTATAATTTATTCAGTTTTACTTTGGAATCCCTATGTATGTTGGAGAAATTGTTGTGGCAGGGGAAAGTGAGGAGTTTCCTGATAAAGCAAATTATAGAACAAGTGAAATAGATATAAAATATTTTTAGACAAGATAGTGTTGACATATTTATGCAACACTGATTATCAATTCAATTGTCTTTCTTGACAATTGTCTTTCACGCTGAGGTAAAGTTAACGTGACTGCATGTCTTCATGCTGCAGGTAATAGCAGTGCCTTCTTCACTGGAGAAACTCCTTCCCTGGAGTTTCTCCTTCTGCCATCAGCAATGCCTTAGGGAAAGGACAACTCTAGATATCCCAGCCAAAGCACAGCAGCCAGAAAGCACACTGCCTTCATCTGCAGGCCTGCACACCCATCATGCATTCTGTGTACTGTGCAGGCTGCCTCCACACCGCCTCTAACAAAAATCTTCCCTCTTCTACATGAGAATATGGCAAATACAAGCATAAAAATTAGAAGCTCGGTACAAGTGTGTTCCAGAACAGGATGTAGAGTCCTTTAGGTGATGACAAAAAGTAGTGCATGTCATCATATAATAGTTCTATTTTTGTATTTCTCCAGGTAAATCTAATATTTAAAGTTAAAAACAATGATTTCCCCATTAACATTGATATTTCAACTAGTATTATTTTTCATATCTCATTTAAGCTGCCATATTGTTGAGATATTATAATTGTAGCAACCATCTTGGTCTTATATAGAAGATACAATATCACAGCAGGCATACTGGTGCTTTGGCCCTTACAGTCTTTCCACCCCCACTTCTTCAAAGTTCCCTGAGCTTTGAATGTAGGAGTTGTGTTGTAGATGTACCAACTGGGTCTTAGATCTTTGCATTTTGACCAGTTAAACCTTTCTGTAACAGTCTCCATCTGCTAACAGTGAAGCTTTTGATGAAAAATAATTTTCCTTGATGAAGGGTCAGAACTAAATTTATTTCTGAATATAAAGATACATATTTAGAATGCAGGTAGAAATTATACTGGTTTGGGAACATGGCAGTGATATATTCTCCTCTAGGTTGTATTAATATATTTAGAAATAGATTCAGATAGGTATAGATATACAACCACAATTAAACAAAGAGTCCAGAGTCTATAAGTTTAAGAGAAAGTGGAGTGTACATGAGAGGAGGTAGAGGAAAGAAAGGGAAAGGGAAAATGATGAAATTTGTTTTAATTTCAGAGAATAAAGATTTTTTTATTTAAAATTTTATTAATTACACTTTATTCACTTTGTATCCTACCTGCAGCTCCCTCCTCCCCTCCCAAGCCCTCCCTCTCTCCCCTTCTCCACCCATGCCCCCCCCAAGTCCACTGATAGGGGAGATCCTCCTCCCCTTCCCTCTGATACCAGTCTATCAGGTCACATCAGGAGTTGCTTGCTGCATTGTCTTCCTCTGCTGCCCTCTCAGGGGGAGGTGATCAAAGAGCAGGCCAATCAGTACATGTCAGAGACAGTCCCTGTCCCATTACTATGGAACCCACTTGGACACTAAACTGCCATGGGCCACATCTGTGCAGGGGTTCTAGATAATCTCCATGCATGGTCCTTGGTTGGAATATCAGTCTCAGAAAAGACCCCTGTGCCCAGATTTTTTGGTTCTGTTGCTCTTCTTGGGGAGTTCCTGTCCTCTCCAGATCTTACTGTTTCCCACTTCTTTCCTAAGATTCCCTGCACTCTGCCCAAAGGTTGGCCCTAAATTTCAGCATCTGCTTTGATACTCTGCAGGGTAGAGCCTTTCAGAGGCCTTCTGTGGTAGGCTCCTGTCCTGTTCCCTGTTTTCTTCCTCTTCTGATGTCCATCCTCTTTACCTTTCTGAATAAGGATTGAGCATTTTAGCCAGAGTCCTCCTTCTTGATTGGTTTCTTTAGGTGTACAGATTTTAGTAGGTTTATCCTATATTATTTGTCTAATATCCACTTGTGAGTGAGTATATACCGTGTGTGTCTTTCTGCTTCTGGGACACCTCACTCAGGATGATCTTTTCCAGTTCCCACCATTTGCCTGCAAATTTCATGATTTCCTTCTTTTTTTATTGCTGAGTAATATTCCATTGTGTAGATGTACCACAATTTCTATATCTATTCCTCAGTTGAGGTGCATCTAGCTTCTGGCTATTACAACTAAAGCTGCTATGAACATGGTTGAGCAAATGTCCTTATTGTGTACTTGAGCATCTTTTGGATATATGCCTAGGAGTGGTATAGCTGGATCTTGAGGAAGCATAATTCTTAATGG